TATATATATATATAAAATAAATCATATTCTTGTAATGTCCACCAGTGTCAAACATATAATATATACAATTTATCAAACAGAAAAAATATATATATTGAAAATATCTATATTACTCAAGAAAAGAACAGATATTTAATACTGCAGAAACAATAACAAAAAAAAAATGGAAATATCCAAATTAGTTGGATAGTTGGAATAATCAAAACTAGTAATAACTGAAAACACTAATATTCATTAGTTGATTATTTTCATGACATTAGTCAATCTAAATATATAGTGATCAACTGCTATTTTATGTGACACTAAATGATATAATTTATGGTCACAGTTAATCTATTTTATTGATCAATCAAGTTAATCATCCAGCAATATTTGTAAATAGTTTCAAAATAATTTGAACAAAATAGATTACCATTTTCACTAGAAGTCTGTACAGAACAGTTTTCAAGGTGGGAAGTTTCAAAATCAGTATCCTGAAAAGAACTACCAGTTCTAACTATTGGACATCCATAAAGTTTCTGGATAGCATCTTGTACAGCCTGATTATAGCTCTATGTGAAAAAAGAAAAATTAAATAAAAAAAACAAACAATGAACTGAAAAATGAGTGTTCCACAAATTCAAGAGGAACCTTTTATAACTCCCTTATTCATATTCCAAGAGAAAGTTCTTATGCAAAGTTTTATTAAGTTTAATACTTAAACTTAATATTAAATTAATATTTTATAAAACCTGCTGTTCAAGAGCAGTGGTGGCACTTAATTTTACAAGCATTACAATTCATTATATGTAAAAGTGAAACTTCGTATTTTACTTCTGATGACCATGAAAACAAAACAAGTCAAACTTGCACTTGAATCACCAAAATTACAGGTATAATTTAAAACAACATACTGTTTATATTTCATGTAATTTTTATTTTGTTATTTGACTGAACTGTTTCTTGAGGTTGTTCATGCGTGGTGTCAGCTTACACAGAGTAAGATTTAACTGTAACATTATTCTCATAGTAAGACAAAATGACTGACACAGAATGGCACTAAAGTCTTTGGCAAGGAACTATGATCATACGTAAGTCAGTCACTATGTAAATATGTTGATTAGATGTTTTGTCTATAGTTAATAATCATAATGCATTGAACTGTAATCTTATCATTTGGTAAAGAAAACTAAATAATGATAAGCCAGAAGCTTGAAAATGTAGAATATTAGTATTGTTTGAAACTTGGTTAGAGCTTATAAGTGTTACGAGTTATAATCAGAGAGTTTGGAAGTGGTGTATTATTCAGTAGATTATATGATAACTTTGAAAGTTCGGTTTTTTCCTTTCTTTCTCACTGTTTTCTTCCCAACTTCTTGGGTCAAGGTTATATTGTTGAGTTAGAAGTTTAGTTGTATTGTTTATAAAAGTTTGAGCCTGACTATTTTTTTTTTTTTTTTGTAATGAGTATATTCTGTTTAACTTCATAAAAGTCAGAATAATTACCTTTTTTGCTTTTAAGAATCTCAATATTGATTTTTGATAGGTTGTTTAGACAGAGTATACATAATGAATTTAAGTTTCAAATGGACAGCAACTGCCTGTTGTAGAAGCCTACAAATGTAGAGGATGACGTTTCGGAAAACTTTCGAAACATCGTCCTCTACATATGTAGGCTTCTACAACAGGCAGTTGCTGTCCA